GTGCGGTTGGCGCAGGATAGAGCAGGGTTTAGAGCTGTTGTGCATAGGGTTGCTATGAGTCGGAAACGACTCGATGGCACATAACAACAACAACAATGAAAAAATGACAATTTCCCTTCGCTTTTAAATTTGTACACTTGACTGTTGATTTATCTTCTGTAACTCTACCAATAGAAGCACATGAGGGCCTTTTTGTGGCATTTAAGCTAATAAAATGTGACAGCTCTATTTACTTCATGAACTGTTATCCTTTCATGCAGATAATACGAAAAAGTTTTGATTTCTTTAAAAGGAATTATATATCTTGAAGTGTGAAATCTTTGTTAAATATTAATGAGACATTGGTGAAAGTAAATGACAATGTAAATGACTTTTCACCAATGTCTAATTAAGTGATTAAGAATGCTTAAATTTTTTTTGGAGAGGAAAGGCTGCAAAGGCAAAACAATAAGTTGTAATGGCACAAGTATTACCTTTATGCAAAGAATCTTGCATTCTATTCCATCTTTGAGACTTATGCCTCTGAAAACACGCTGGAGGGTCCAGCTATGAGTTGGTTTTGATTTGACAGTACATAATAACAATAATGGGTGGTACAGGAGCTCTGGTGGCTGCTCTTCACATGAAAGAGAGGCAGTCTGCTTCTGAACTGTTTACTGTTGCTGAAAACCTGCTAGAGGATCGTCTGTGAGTTGGTTCTGACTGCCTGGCAATAAGTAGAGTTGAGCTGAGGTGGCACAAACAGTTTATGTTTAACTGCGAACCTAAAGGTTGATATAGTTTTCTTATTTTACCTTTAAAAAGGGTATTTTCAATGATTAAATCATTGACCATATAAAATGAAATAATTTGATCTCCAGCTTCATTTTGTCCAATCTGTACTTTGCAACTGTACTGTACCATCTTTTGAAATATCTCTTTTTATATGTATGTACTTGAATATACATATAATCTCCATAAGCAGTAATGTGCAAATGAAAATGTCTAATTTGCTTTGTACCTTTTTCAAGACATACTGGTTACATTATTCTTAGTATAAAAGTATAAAGTAAAAGCTGAAGCAAAAGGATCC